TTAATAATGTATTCTATTTACAGCTGCCGATCATGAAAACGTTATTAAAATTAAAGTTATTTCTAGAAACATTAAACTGGTACTAAGATATTAAGCAGTTGGTTTAAAATACCATGTAGGTCCGGTTAACACGGTTACTCCTCTAGGGTAGAAACGGATTTTAAAAATCCGTGCCTCTATTCCCCTTACCAAGTGGCACAGTGCGGTAGCTCTAAACACAATGTGCCTTTTGACCCACGCCATGTGGCCCGTCGCCACATGGCGTAGTGTGGGCAGACCCTAACACGGTTACTCCTCTAGGGTAGATCCACGACAGTTGATACACTTCTCCACCACAGTGACCTGTTTTTAGTGTATTGCCTAGTAACCAGTAGAGGTTATCTAGTAACCAGTAGAGGTTGCCTAGTAACCAGTAGAGGTTGCCTAGTAACCAGTAACACGGTTACTCCTCTAGGGTAGATCCACGACAGTGGACACACTTCTCCACCACAGTGACCTGTTTCTAGTGTATTGTAATGTGTCCGGATTCCTGTACAACGTGGTCAGTAAGACTAGTGTCCAACTCATTCTTCTTCTTACTTGTGACAGGTGTTTATCAAACATTATATTTAATTGTATTTATACAATTTAATAAACTTGTTATAAACTTGTTCTATAAACTTGTTGTGAACTTGTTCTATAAACTTGTTCTATAAACTTGTTGTGAACTTGTTCTATAAACTTGTTCTATAAACTTGTTCTATAAACTTGTTCTATAAACTTGTTATAAACGTGTTCTATAAACTTGCTATAAAATTTTTATATAAACTTGTTCTATAAACTTGTTCTATAAACTTAATCTATAAACTTGTTCTATAAACAAGTTCTACAACCTTGTTCTATAAACTTGTTCTACAACCTTGTTCTATAAACTTGTTATAAACTTGTTCTATAAACTTGTTTTGTAAACTTGTTATAACCTTGTTCTATAAACTTGTTCTGTAAACTTGTTCTATAACCTTGTTCTATAAACTTGTTCTATAAACTTGTTCTATAAACTTGTTCTATAAACTTGTTCTATAAACTTGTTGTAAACTTGTTCTATAAACTTGTTCTATAAACTTGTTCTATAAACTTGTTCTACCAATCCGATTGAAAGACTAACCCTAAGTATTCTACCATTACGATTACCATGACGAACAGAAGTAAACAAATCTACCAACAACATCACTTCAGATGGTTGACGATTGTCTACCCGCGGATACATAGGACGTGGATCAACATCAGGAGATATCGGGTTGTTATCATGGCTCTGTGGACCTGCTCCCTTCTCGCTTCCTGCTCTCCCTTTGCTAATGGAAAGTTGTACACTTTTCAGCACAAGTTCATTTCCCTCTGTACTTGGGACTTCTCTATGGTGAGTTTTATCTTGGAACCAAATAAATCATTTCACATGTAACCCGTCAGCGCAATTTATTTGCATAATTTAGTAGTTAATTCTGTCAAAATTCTTATCATATGATTGGAGTTCAAGTTAAGTCGCCGTAAGATGTTTAGTCTCGCCACGTGTATTTAAATACTAAATACCTATCAACAATTTAAGATTAATTTTACGATCTACAAAATATTCTCTAGTATAATTCACAATACCGGGAGAGTTGATTTTATAAGCGTGTAGTATTTACCTATAATATCCATGATATAAGTTCGACAATTCGCTATATAACATAATATAACATAATATAACATAATATAACTGTCAAACTCTGAACTTCAGATTGCAATCTGATAACCATTAATTAACCTCGCCAGACATTCACCTTTTAAGGCGACTACCCAGACAATATTGTGTCTCACCCCTGTCAATAACTAATCTAGATAAACTGCTTGAACTAAATAATTAATAAACTACTTCCCCGCCTACGATTTCGCGTGATCCGTCAAACGGTTTAGATATAGTCAATGATTATTAATCATCAATCATTGTCATGCTAAATTGATCCCACGCGTCACAAATTTAAAATTCAACCAAGATCTCTTCTGTGTCTGGACAACTTGCCAAGTTTCTCCTGGAGCTGACAACATTGAACTATCAAAAATCATACCACTATCAACAAACAATTCATGGCAGATCTCATTATCCTACCTAGAGCAACGAGAGACCTAACAACACCAACCATGATGCTGGGACGGCACTTCACCGTCACAACTCCTGGAGCTGACAACATTGAATATAGAGATTCACTTCAAAACACCATCGACAATATCACCAGTGAGACTATCACCTGCTACACAGACGGGTCACGCACAGACTCAGGTAGCGAGGCTGGCTATATCGCATCACCACTGACAATAAAAACACTACCCTAGAGGAAAGATCATTCAAGCTTCCTGATTATTGCACTGTATATCAAACAGAGTTCACCGCCATCATCGAAGCTTGTAAATATCTCTCAACTTATATAATAACTATAAATCTCAGTTGGGAGTACGACAAAAAGAGAGAGGTCTCTATTTATTTCTCTACATGGTGTACGTGATTCTGCCCATAGTTTTACCCCTTCTACTAACCATCATGTAAGTTAGATTTTACGGATTATAGCAGCAATTTACTGATAGACTTAATGCTATAAACTGAGCAAATATTTGTTTCAAATATTATACCTGGCGACGAGACGAAGCCAGTCGAGTGGGTTTGTAGGTCATCAACTTACGAAGTTGGATATAACCATTTAGGAGTAATAAAACACAAATAAAGTATCAAGAACATGATGATGAGATCGAAGTTTTACGATTCGCCGCCAAATGACAAGCGATCTCGAACAACATTTGTTCAGGTTTGCGTTTACAGTGATACGAAAACTTCACTCTATCAAGAGGAAAGACTACCGGAGGAATAGGAAAACATCCAAAGTTTCTTACGCCGCGACGACTGTAACCCTGGTTACCATATTCCATATTTTCAGGTAAACTAGAATTTTGGCAGCTTTTTATTATATTTAGATTTTTATTATATATAGTCTTTTAAAATTGCATTTGATTTAGCAATCGGTCAAAATTACACATTAAATTGTTCGACTGGTTTCATTGAATTCTCATTTTAAATCGTATGGAGATACCTGATAGTGATACATTTATTAATCTAATAATAATCGGCATCACCTTGTTCGCCCCTAACTCTCAATATTTCAGCTATGCAATCTGGCACTTTGTTATAACGAGTACGATGCTCAGCCTGCTCAAAATATTACCTCCCCTCCAAATGGACTCAGCTTTCAAGAATCATCTGTTTACCAGCTACCCTCTTGGAGCATACTTCAACGCCGCAGTTAATCCAATTCTCCTGTACTTCCGTATCTTGAAAAAGAACCCATCCACTGCAAACAGCATGCAACTCAAAGCGCGGAAGTTGGTTGCAGTGCAGTCTGGAGGAACGATGATCAAAGCTGAAAGGAAAACAGCAACGATCATAGACAAGGTGGAGGAAAATGTAGCAGTTGTACAGACATTGGAAGTAAGTGAAAGTGCACGTCACGGACAACTATCTTTCGTTACAAAAGTCATTAGCCGGATGAACTCAGCTCACAAACTATTCAAGAGAAGCTTGACTTGGTCAAACACAATGAAAGAGCTTAGCCAAGGTAAAACCAAGGTTATGGAGAAAAATTTTGTGACCACGGAGAGGATCCGACCTGCGCCAGAGGTCGTGGATCATACCTCCCCCAAAAAAATAAGTTCGTTGAATTCGCTCACCATTCAGCCGATATCATTTTACCGCCTGGAGCAAGAATCAGAAGTGCCGCAATCTGTAACCACACCTGCTACAACAGCTCATTTATCAGAAAGTTTAAGTGTAATACCACAAAACATTACTCCGAGGGACAACAACAATACTCCATCAAAGGATCATGTTATATTTTTCAATGTAAACAATAATGCCGCCTCTTTTGTCCCTCCTACGGAAAGAACGTTCATCAAAGATCAAAATTTAGTGACAGATTTTTCACAAGAAGCCATGTCTTCACAGAGTATACTTTTCTCTCAAGATACTGTGACTAATTTCCGAACCGATGAAGATAATCCTCCTAGATTAGAAAACTTCTCCCCCCTTCTCCCGCCTTTTACGGAGATTCAAATAATGCCATTGCAACCAATTTGTGTTGCCATACCTATTCAAATCAAAGAGACCGATTTCGTTACTATAAACACTAATATATAAGTATAATAAATAATTTGAGAAATAGAACATGAATATGATGTAGTGACATTGAAACGTTACGAATTCCTAAAACGAGAATTTTTCTTTTGTCGCGACTCGCATTACATAGACTCATTATAAATTCTGATCAGAAACATCACAATTATGCGACCAATACACAATGTTCCAATCCGGATATTACATTTCCAAGTTATGAAGATGAAATTTCCTGTACCGGGATTTCACAGTTTTGGCTGAATTTTGTCCAGTAACCACTTAGTCAGTTTACTATAAATGGCACAATCGAGGTGCTTTTTAATTCATGTATCGTTATTTTTTGTCTTTTATAAATTCCGGTATTTTTTGTTTGTTAATGTGCTGACGAATGCTACGTAAGATGATGTCACAAAATCATAATTTAGTAATTTTCAAAAACATTTGTACTGACTTTCCTGTCTAGCACTGACTACTTTGTCGCTGGTACCATAAGGGCCAGTATTCCTAACGAAGACATTCACTTTATAATTTCGAGGATGTTTATACTATCCTACTTTATGGAAACACTATAAGACTACTTAAGTACTTATATATACAAACAATTTCACTTTGTGTGGAACGTGGTTGTTCAATCAAATAATTTCCCAGACAAATAATTTCCCTGACAATTGAATACCAAGAAACACTTTAAATTAGTGGTTAACGAATGCCGCAAGTAGTCTCAGGATGCTCAAAATATCAGTACTCAAATAATTTTGATCCTTCAAGGAAGTTTAATAATTGCCTGAATGTTTTGCAGAATAATTTGAACAAATGAAAGATTCGATTTTATAAAAGGTTTATGAAATTAAATTTGGACAAGCAAAAACTATAAGAAATATATCTTGAATAGAAGATGTTTCTGTTAGAGAATAAAACAGGAAAAGATGGTAAAAAGATCGAAATATAAACATATTAAATAAATCTTAAAATTAAGTTAAACCCTGCCAATTTTGCGATGATCAGTGATAGAAGCTCAAAGAAGACTAAAATTATCAAAGTATCATACAAACTTATAAAATATCTCCCATCAGAACCGATACTCAATAATGAATTCATCATTAAATATAAAAGCAGAAATACAAAATGCACAAAGTTTAACACTACTCTCACCTAAAGACTCAATGGCCCAACTTCATGGCGCAACTATGAACTTTATCTACATCACACTGGATTAGTTTTAGCTACCACTGATAACGGAATCACATCAGCATCGTCGACAGATTTCCGGCAGCAGATAAGTTTTGAGAGAACCGAATCGTAGGGTTCCAGAGAGCGCATTGGCTTGGGAAGGAAGTCCCAGGTTCGGAGAAATTCTGGCAGCCTGACAAAAACGGAGCGGTTAAATTTTAGTCTCGGATAGTAATAGCTATGGAATGCGGAAGCCGTTGAGAATAGCGCATACCTTAAAGATCGAGAGGATTCCTTGAACCCGGCTAGCCGATAATGTACTGTAATAGAACTTTAAACTTACAATTTCATCAGGTTATTTAGTTGTAATACGAAATTTGAACTTACTTTTCGGGAATTTTATCCTGGAGAATGTTGAGAATAGTAATGAAGAGGATAGCAGCAATAATAAGTGTGATAACCACGTAGAGGAGAGGCAGACTGAAGGACAGGGCAATGAAGAGCATTGGCATCAACAAGAATACTACTATTAGGTAGAGTATGGCAAACCATCTGAAAATAGTTATAGTCAGTATTGTGATCACCAAAAAACTTACCTGCTGTCTTATGACAACAATCAGTGATACTTATGCAACTGTTATTTTATATTATTTTAAAATGTAAAATAGTCCGATTCCAGAAAGGTGGCACTGTCAATCACCTGTAGTCAGCAGTGGTGTTTCCCAGCATCTTGGCAAAATTAATCGGAATGGTCCTCATGAAAGGAACAGGGTAGAAAACGAGGATACCAAAGATGTTGAACAGCAGATGTGAGATCTGAGTGAAGAAAGGATTTTAATTTGATTATAGATGATACAAATCGTACGAACCACCATTATTCATCAACCATTTCAACGAACACGCTTGGATAAAGCTTTATGTACAGTGTACACTAACGACGTTATACATAGTTGATATTTTGAAAATATGCTGTGAGTAATCTGAAAAGTCAAAAGCAAAAGTATAACTGTTATGGAATTTGTCGAGACTTACAGCAACTTGTATAGTGACAGATCGTTTGTCTCCAGTCGCTGCCAAAGCTGCCAGAACTGCAGTGCACGTGGTACCTAAATTAAGAAGAGTCAGTCCTCTTTACCTGTTATCGCTCGATTAGGATACGTGGAAAAGCAATTCTGTTCATTAAACGGATATTCTAGGGCAGCGTTCTTGCTTTCTTGGACTGTGGAAATAAGCAATAAGATATGTCTAGAAATTCGCTCCTACTAAATCGCTCGCCCAAATTTTAAGAAAATTCTTGTGAAAAGGCCCTTTGGGTATGAAGTTGATTTTAATCGGTGTATTTTTGGACGCTGATTCCGAATCACCCCCATGACGTAGGGTAAAAATGCTTCCCTGGAGAGTTATGGGCAAAAAACCGTTTTGGTCACGTGACAGGCTAGTAAAACATGAATTCGATTGTTTAGGGCTCAGGTTAGGGTTAGGGTTGTGGTACGGGTTATAAATAGCTTCGGTGTTATGGTTAGGGACTAGGGTTAGGGTTGGTAATAGGGTTTATGTACAACCGTTTTGTACTGCTGCAAAACCATAAAAACCAAAGTTACGTGAAATTTTTGGGCGAGCGAATTAGTAAGAACTAAGAGCCCTAGAAATTAGGGTGTGTGCCAATTTCCAAGTCAACTTGAATGATGATCAATTCTACAATTGTCCCTGTAAGTCCGCCAGCAATAAACATGCTTACCTATGTTGCTTCCAAGAGTGAAGGGGTACATGAGCATGCTTATTGCTTACCTATGTTGCTTCCAAGAGTGAGGGGGTACATCCTGTCGAGACTAATAACACCCAGTCCAACTAGAGGTGTTAGTGCTGACGTAAATACACTGCTGCTCTGTACTAGAATGGTCATACCAGTTCCCACCAAGATAAACAGATACCTGGTGAGTGGTGAACAGTGAGTTGTTATGTAAATAACATACCAGTTCCCACCAAGATAAACAGATACCTGGTGAGTGGTGAACAGTGAGTTGTTATGTAAATAACATACCAGTTCCCACCAAGATAAACAGATACCTGGTGAGTTGTGAACAGTGAGTTGTTATGTGAATAACATACCATGTTCCCACCAAGATAAACAGATACCTGGTGAGTTGTGAACAGTGAGTTGTTATGTGAATAACATACCAGTTCCCACCAAGATAAACAGATACCTGGTGAGTTGTGAACAGTGAGTTGTTATGTGAATAACATACCAGTTCCCACCAAGATAAACAGATACCTGGTGAGTGGTGAACAGTGAGTTGTTATGTGAATAACATACCAGTTCCCACCAAGATAAACAGATACCTGGTGAGTGGTGAACAGTGAGTTGTTATGTGAATAACATACCAGTTCCCACCAAGATAAACAGATACCTGGTGAGTGGTGAACAGTGAGTTGTTATGTAAATAACATACCAGTTCCCACCAAGATAAACAGATACCTGGTGAGTGGTGAACAGTGAGTTGTTATGTGAATAACATACCAGTTCCCACCAAGATAAACAGATACCTGGTGAGTTGTGAACAGTGAGTTGTTATGTAAATAACATACCAGTTCCCACCAAGATAAACAGATACCTGGTGAGTGGTGAACAGTGAGTTGTTATGTGAATAACATACCAGTTCCCACCAAGATAAACAGATACCTGGTGAGTGGTGAACAGTGAGTTGTTATGTGAATAACATACCATGTTCCCACCAAGATAAACAGATACCTGGTGAGTGGTGAACAGTGAGTTGTTATGTGAATAACATACCAGTTCCCACCAAGATAAACAGATACCTGGTGAGTTGTGAACAGTGAGTTGTTATGTGAATAACATACCAGTTCCCACCAAGATAAACAGATACCTGGTGAGTTGTGAACAGTGAGTTGTTATGTGAATAACATACCAGTTCCCACCAAGATAAACAGATACCTGGTGAGTGGTGAACAGTGAGTTGTTATGTGAATAACATACCAGTTCCCACCAAGATAAACAGATACCTGGTGAGTTGTGAACAGTGAGTTGTTATGTAAATAACATACCAGTTCCCACCAAGATAAACAGATACCTGGTGAGTGGTGAACAGTGAGTTGTTATGTGAATAACATACCAGTTCCCACCAAGATAAACAGATACCTGGTGAGTTGTGAACAGTGAGTTGTTATGTGAATAACATACCAGTTCCCACCAAGATAAACAGATACCTGGTGAGTTGTGAACAGTGAGTTGTTATGTGAATAACATACCAGTTCCCACCAAGATAAACAGATACCTGGTGAGTTGTGAACAGTGAGTTGTTATGTGAATAACATACCAGTTCCCACCAAGATAAACAGATACCTGGTGAGTGGTGAACAGTGAGTTGTTATTTAAATAACATACCAGTTCCCACCAAGATAAACAGATACCTGGTGAGTGGTGAACAGTGAGTTGTTATGTGAATAACATACCAGTTCCCACCAAGATAAACAGATACCTGGTGAGTTGTGACCAGTGAGTTGTTATGTAAATAACATACCAGTTCCCACCAAGATAAACAGATACCTGGTGAGTGGTGAACAGTGAGTTGTTATGTAAATAACATACCAGTTCCCACCAAGATAAACAGATACCTGGTGAGTTGTGACCAGTGAGTTGTTATGTAAATAACATACCAGTTCCCACCAAGATAAACAGATACCTGGTGAGTTGTGAACAGTGAGTTGTTAAGTGAATAACATACCAGTTCCCACCAAGATAAACAGATACCTGGTGAGTGGTGAACAGTGAGTTGTTATGTAAATAACATACCAGTTCCCACCAAGATAAACAGATACCTGGTGAGTTGTGACCAGTGAGTTGTTATGTAAATAACATACCAGTTCCCACCAAGATAAACAGATACCTGGTGAGTTGTGAACAGTGAGTTGTTATGTAAATAACATACCAGTTCCCACCAAGATAAACAGATACCTGGTGAGTTGTGAACAGTGAGTTGTTATGTAAATAACATACCAGTTCCCACCAAGATAAACAGATACCTGGTGAGTTGTGAACAGTGAGTTGTTATGTGAATAACATACCAGTTCCCACCAAGATAAACAGATACCTGGTGAGTTGTGAACAGTGAGTTGTTATGTAAATAACATACCAGTTCCCACCAAGATAAACAGATACCTGGTGAGTGGTGAACAGTGAGTTGTTATTTAAATAACATACCAGTTCCCACCAAGATAAACAGATACCTGGTGAGTTGTGAACAGTGAGTTGTTATGTAAATAACATACCAGTTCCCACCAAGATAAACAGATACCTGGTGAGTGGTGAACAGTGAGTTGTTATGTAAATAACATACCAGTTCCCACCAAGATAAACAGATACCTGGTGAGTGGTGAACAGTGAGTTGGTATGTGAATATGTGGAATAATCTCTCCGTGCGTGGAATGTGGATTTAATCAACTTTGTAAATATTATCTCAAGAAATTTAATTTTCATGTTGTTAGTGTAAATAAAATATCAGTTTACATCCATTTTACATACATATCATAAATCAAAAACTTATTTTATGACTAACCCGGTAAGCCAGCCGAAGGGGGAAGGAAGGTCGGAGTTGATGTGCTTCTTGAGGGTCTGAGCCATTCTGCCCAGCAATAGAGACTGGAGAGTTTTTACCAGGGTAGTTAGGCACACACACAGTAGAATGAGACTGGCAATAAGTAAGATTACACCAGTCGTCGTATCACCAAGACCTGAAGAGAGAGTGGTTATATCATATTCAGAAGGCCAGTTAAAAATTACATTGTATGTACTTGCAGATCACAATTTGTCGGCTTGGACGAGTCATACGGAATACTGTTGACATATTATCCCCTCTCTGAATAAACTCCTTAAATCGATTACACTTCTGGGTCGTGTACTAAACTTGCAACAAGGAACTTCTTTAAAAGTCCTTTTCGAGCTATTCTATTCCGTTTCGGTGCTCATAGTCCCCGGAGTAACTCTCTCTCTCTCTCTCTCTCTGTTTTGGTCAAGGTTTCTGGCCTCCTATTGAAGAGGGATGCCTTCTCGCCGTGCCAACAGAGTGTGACTCCTGCTAGCCACACTCCAGGACTCCCTAAGTATATACAAAAACATAGAATAATAGATATCACCCGGAGTAACTCGCCTGCTTGAGCAAAAAGGTATCCACACTTGTCATCACAAGCCTTCATCATGCTAGCATTTCTAGCACCGCCGCATTTAGATATATTGTAGTGATCGCCTGTCTGTGTGCAGTACTGAAAAGGGGGGCTTATGTCAGGAGAATGTTCGTTTAAAATACGACTAGTTCTGAAAGAGGTTGTATTATACGTGTGAACACAGGCTTAGTTTCTGTGGTGCAGTATAGTCTTCGCACTACGTTTCATGATATACTCCGCATGCAATTGAACCAAGTACTAAAAAGGGGTCCTTGAAGATTGCATTGGTTTTCAAAAGTAGGAGTTTTACATTGAAACCTAGTGAGGAGACCATAAAGACCTTGCTTACCAGCAACTTACCTTGGCTATGTTCTTGATTGTGGATTTTTCAATGCCGATTATGGTCTTCGTTAATGGTTTAGTTATGACTTTAAGGAAATCAAGTTTAGAGACTTTGTCATCATCGCTGATACCTGTTGTTAAAGTAAGCTGGATTGATGGTGCTCCACAGGGACACACTCTAGGTCGTCATGACAACTACCGAGAGTGCAATCCTCTGTGGGCGGCCCATAAAAACCACATTTTCTTATCCTGCATCTTTAATTTATTCTCAATTACTTTCAACAATGACACAACTAATAATTATGAGACACCAACTTTTATGCTTTCTATTTTTCACCTACCTTGAGTCAGGGCTGAGCTGATCTTTTCCAAAGGATGGAGGACAGCCTCTAGAGGCAGGAAGATAAACACACATAGCCAGTTAAAGCAATCGTGTACTGAGGATAATATAATTTTGCTTTACAATATAGATTTTATTTGTGTTAATTTATGCCAACTGCATACTATGTATTCATTCATTTCGATATTCTTGCTATAAAGCTGTTAAAACTTTTTTTCGGGCTCTTACCTGTGGCTCCACCAAATGCTCGTCGAAACATTTTTCTATCCATGGACTGACCAAGACTGACGATTGTGTTGGTCACAGTGGTTCCAATGTTGGCTCCCATCACCATTGAAATAGCGGGTCTCAGCTGGACAACTGAAAACAATATTGTTAAGATTTTATTACTTGTGGCTTTAAAAGTTTAAATCACATGCAAATAGAAAACAAAATTATAAGTTCGTGAGTACAGAATCCGTGTTAGAAGGGATTGGCTGTCTTCCGCTCACATGTACGAATTGTACGTCTATCAATATCGTGGGAAACATTTTATACGATATTACGCGATATGTTGATAAAACCAATAATTATGGTCGCTGGAAATATGTCCGATTTTGCAAATCTAATAAAAGTTGTCACTTTGTTAGTGGATCTGGGCGAACAAACTTTTAACTTACTTCCAGCTGAAACCATGGCAACAACAATGCTGGTTGAGGTGGATGAACTCTGTACCAGGACAGTCACTAGAACACCTATCATCAGTCCGATTATAGGGTTGTTCAGGATCTTACTCCTTGCAAATACCTACACGGGGTTGAATGTGATACCGGAAATTTAAGGATCAAGGTGAATAATTAATGAATATTGAATAACATAACAGAATATAATATCAGACATTTAGAATACTTTAAGAGTCGTTCACATATTATATTACGTAATCAGTTTTATACCAGTTGTTTAACCCCCTCTGTAATCATTTTTACGAATAACTATTCTGTTAAAGTTACACTATAAGCGTAATCAATTAGAAACCCCTCTGTCCCCCTTACTGATTACGTCATATGTGAACAACCTTTTATCGGCAACTCTGATTTCTGAGGGACCAAATTAGGCACAGTTTGCGTGAAGATCTTTTAACTGTGCATAATGTATTAATTTTACATTCGATAATTGAGATGATTTTAGCGAAAAATAGCAGTTCAAGTTAAAGAAATAGTTTATAAAGGAGTTACTAACCTCTCCGGCGGATTTTCCTCCGAGTAACTGGAAAGCACTTGAGAGAAAAGAAAGGGAACAAATGAAGAAGTACAGACTGGCCAGAACTATGAGCATCTTCAGTACCAATGTCAACACTTTTATGACTTTACCTTTCGTTGATTTTTCTGGGGAAATATGTTGATCATAATAATACCATAATAATATTTTGTAGACTTTTATCGATAGCCATCTGATCAGACAAACAGAGTGATAGGTTTACAGAACCAGCCGATTATACCGTCGACTGGTTGTCTTACCAAATTACAACTAAACAACAAATTATTCTCCCAAAATAAGAAATCTCACCGTTCCAAGGTTTCTCGAAGTTATCAGTATCCAGCTCATCATCCACCACATTCCAGGCATCGACCTCCTTCACCTCAAGGTGCTCCATCGACGTCGACTGTGAGAAATTATTATAGAGGTCAGTGAGGTCATTACTACAGAGGTATCAGTTTCACGAAGTTGCACATATATAGCAATAATTGGAGTTACCATATCGGACTTAAATTGTTCGGACAGTAACGTTTATCAAATACTGTATCTACTATCTTAGATCACAAGTTAGAATAGATTAAGTTGACTAGTAAAGAGCGAAAAGAAAAAATAAGGGGTCGACCAAATTTACCGTACCGTCGACAATGGCGTGACTCTCATGGAACGATCCATCATATAAGGTACTAACTCAAACTACTTTATTCAAACATATCGATGAGTGCATTAAAATTATGTCGTAACCTTATTCATATTGTCTGGAACGGAATAGGACTTTCTTTTATCAATTCTTCATTACAAATGGGCCAAGTTTTGATTAACTTAAAAATAATGAGATAACGGAAATGGTGCGATTCTCTAATCAGGTCTTTTAACAATTTCCCCTTTGACACCAATTTCCTCTCGAATCCAAAATTTCCTCGCAGAATATTCTGGCATTCTATAATGCCAGACTGCCTTTTTTCTGCATATGGGCTGATTTGTGATACGTGGCAATAAAGTCTTAGAAGGCTAGAATAGCGAATATTTTGTTATTTACTACGTTTCAAATAGTGATCATAGATGACATTACAATCTTACGATTACATTACATTGTCTGTTCTTATCAAAAGATCAGAGGACTAGCTGGACCACATGTTTCATAATATGATTAAAAAAGCAGAACCAACTCCACCATCAACATATCCTCTATATGAACGTCTTAAAAAATCACATAAAATAAGTCTTATTAAAACTGCAAAAGCAAGGAAAACCTGATGCTTTCACCTATAAATCTTCAACAGTACGGGATTACGAGAAGTGTTTCTTCTTCTTCCCCAGAATCTTCACTATATCAGAAGGGTTCAAAGAAATTTTAACAATTAGAGGTATTGTTAAAACGGCAAAAGCAAAGAGAATCGGACGTTTCTGGACTTCTTACGTCCTCTTAAACCAACAAAAATACGCGAAATTACGATTTTAATTTTAATGAAAGCATAGAACTATTTACTTAACCACGATTATTAACTTATCTGCAATTTTATAAATCCACCGACCATATGTTAACACTTTAACATACCAAATTATAATATTACATATTAAATGGTTTAAAATTATGACAGAATTTTCTATCAACACATTCATAAGAGGTCCTGGATAACTCGATTCTGTTATTAAAATACTTAAAAAACCTATCTAAGTTTTCTTTTAAAACCTATCTAAATTTGAATTTTTACCAGAAACTTTATTTCAAACCGTTATGGAGTTGCCAGGGTGGCTCCCAACTCATCATTTTTCCCGTGAACTGATGTGTATAAGAATTGAGTATAGTTCACGTTTGGCTTCCAATTTCTTATATTACAGATAAAAGTTAAGTTCCACGGCAATTTTTACGGCAATTATATTGAATCACAAGTGTTTTCCGTATCTTAACAGTTAAAACCATAATATCATGAATTGAACTGATCTATAGCAGTTGTATACTGTATAGCAATATTAAGATAATGGGACTACTGCAGACCCTCTACCGGCCAAACCTTGTTAACAAAGCCGGAGTCGAGGTTCGGTGAACGGTATAAGTTAAAAGCGCTTAAGGGACATAAGTCAAAGTGGTAAAGCAACATCATGTAGTGGACATCTTGAGAAATGAGTAGTAGGTAGAATGTAAGAAGAATCTCGAATAATTTAGTTACGCTGCAACTAAATTATTCGAGATTCTTCCAATAATTTTCAAGACTTGATGTCAATTTATTATCGGAGAAAAATATGATTTATGAAGGCAACCTTACATTCTACCTACTACTCATTTCTCAAGATGTCCACTACCTGATGTTGCTTTACCACTTTGACTTATGTCCCTTAAGCGCTTTTATCTACCGCTCACCGAACCTTGACTGCGGCTTTGTTAACAAGGTTTGGCCGGTAGAAGGTCTACAGTGACTCTTCATTCTGTTCTAAACAGCATGTACATTTTGTTACATTCACGCTCCCTTATTTATATACTCTAACCTTTGTTACAAGCGGATTTTACAACCGAAATGTAGTGATGCAGCAAATCACGGAAAGTAACAACTTAAAAGGTCAGTGCGGTGATCACGGTAAAAATAAAAGTAACGGATCCACTGTATTCTACATCTTTAATAGTCAGTATATCTGATCAACAGATGTATGGATGTTTGTCAGCTGGTAACAGGTAGTTTCAATATGAATATGGGGCCAGGTGCTATAGTCATAAGGTTACATATAAATATATTGTCGCCCTTTTGTAGACGCCCCTAATCTGAGCACTGCTTATACCCTGGGCCGCTGACGATTGTGCCGCTCTTGTTAGATTTAATGTTAAAAGTAGTAACTAACCTGATCACTATTATAAGTCACTGGTATCAGCACATAACGAGTGTTGCAAATACCTAGACGGCCCTTGTATCTGACTTTGAGCAATTTGCTATGTTCACTGCTTCTATACAGCTTGTGCCGCTGACGATTGGGCTGCGCTTGTTAGATTTAATGCTAAACGTAGTAACTAACCCGATCACTATTATAAGTCACTGGTATCAGCAAATAACGAGTGTTGCAAATACCTAGACGGCCCTTGTATTTGACTTTGAGCAATTTGCTATGTTCACTGCTTCTATACAGCTTGTGCCGCTGACGATCGGGCTGCGCTTGTTAGATTTAATGCTAAACGTAGTAACTAACCCGATCACTATTATAAGTCACTGGTATCAGCACATAACGAGTGTTGCAAATACCTAGACGGCCCTTGTATTTGACTTTGAGCAATTTGCCATGTTCACTGCTTCTATACAGCTTGTGCCGCTGACGATCGGGCTGCGCTTGTTAGATTTAATGCTAAACGTAGTAACTAACCTGATCACCTTCAGTCACTTGTATGAGCACATAACAAATGTTGCAAACACGAACGTTTTCCAAAAAAACACACTCGTGTTAAACGTTTCCTACACATGAAACTGTAGAAACTAAGATACAATTAAAGAATTAACATATTGTCATAGACAAAAAGGAGCGACTTGTTCACCTAATTAGTTTACTGAAGTGTTATCAATAAACAATGCAAGTTTACTTAAGACTTAAAAGCAATTACAAAGTCTACAAATTTACGTGATACAAACGTTTTACGCTGTGAACTCGTATCATCATAGCAATAAACTGTTTCTAAGCATTCTGCAGAGTGGCAGACCATTAGTGCAACGTTTTCGGTACTTCGCCTGGATAAGTGTCGGACATTTCGGCAAAGTATCCTTCCTGTTACAGGAGTGTTGACCCAGCCAGCAGCCTATAATACAATAATACCTAGCCTATCATACAACGTTTTCTAACAAATTATACACCGTTACAGCTTGTAGACCGCATGCTCAGTCTCCTCTGGCAGTTTGAGCAAATTATTGACTATTTAGTATTTTTATTGCATTATTCTAATTTTCGTACATTTATATGCAAAAATAGAGTGATTTGTTATTTTATCTCATAAATTAGAGCCATTTAAAATCCACACATTATTTTCAACTCACCCTGTACATTCTTCAGAGATATAAAATATTCTGCTTTATATATAGTAAGATTGTTTATAATATTTCATTGGGAAACATGGTCATTTAAGAAAGTAGTAATGCATAAAGTATAATGCATAAAGTATAATGCATAAAGTATGAATAATCATACTTTGCACGGAGTTACTACTTACCACACAGTCAAGTTAGATAACAATTTGCAGTCTATAACAGAAGGCTATACAAATAAGAACAAAATATGTAACAAATTTAAACTTTGTTGCACTGATCTATTTACCCATTTCAAATGTACGTACTCATACCCGTCTCGCCTCTCGGTTTAGGAGGAAGCAATTATGGTGAAAATTAGATTTTTCACGGTTGCTAGAAGCAATTTAACCAACGACTTAACAAGATAGTGTTTCAATTGTGAGTGGTAAAATGCCACGTCATAGACTTCCAAGCAGAACGGATTAGGTTTTACTCTAGGATATCAATATATTTTTAACACTATCTCGTGAAGTCGTTGGTCTGATTCTGCGTTGCACCTATTATGATGTAACCTAATAGGATTATAACCTACTGCTCGTGAATACCTACTGCTGTCACGAAAGGTTTTATTAACCGTGGTCACCATGGTTAACTAACTTGCAAGTTAGGTAGCTATAAATGATATTTTGATGTATGTTTACTTCATTCTTCTCCTATCACTATTGATTCGTTATATACAAAAACAATAATAAGTCTAACGCAAAAATTCCATAAAATACTTTACCGACTCGTCATCCTCGTTATCTATCTCATTCTTTAGTAGTACAGGCTTTAAGTCCGTAACCCCCATTGCAACATCAATAACCTTGCAACCTTTGCTAGCAACAAGTAGAGTTGTGAACTGATGAACAATCTTAGAAGGAAACTAGTATAATATCGAATAAAATAATCACGATAGAGCTTTACAAAACACTACCTCCAACAGAATTGTTGAAGTATCAATAATCAACAAAAACACTTTCACTTATAATAGAACTTTACAAAACGCTACCTCTAACACAATTGTTGAGGTATCAATAATCAACAAAAACACTAGACTTGGCGGTGAATCAGGTTGATCAAAAACCGATGGATTCAACAGTCGACAATTAATATGGGCGCGTTGGATTTATAGCGATAAAAAATGCAGGCTAAACAAGACAAAAGATTGATTAATTAATAGAAACATTCTGAATCGATAGTGTACATTCGTAGACACCATTCATTTTGGGGTTGATTACAATAAAGTTATGCAGGATGTAAGCGAAATTAAAGCACGTGAGTAGAATTATAGCAAATGATAACTATATACGATATATTACATACGGAGCTGTGGATAAATTACATGAGCACATTTTGTGGAGATTCAATGTGATTCCAGGCGGTAAAACTAACGGTCCCCATGGCAACATCAAATATATTGGCTCAGTTACATCACTTCGACTATCAAATTACCAAACTACTCAACCGTATTCTATTTACTTACTTTAATTAAGTAAGTAACTTTACTTATTACCAAGTAGTTCAATGTAAGAAGGAAAAATATAAATGGAAATATATGATGTGGCGCATAGTAAAGGTTGGGATTCAAACAAAATAAGATTTCTATTCTGGTATGCAGTCGACATATTGTAGCGAGGTATGGTATGTAATCATGTCACTAGAAAATTATCACATGTTTTCAGGATAACTTCAATGCTCGCTAAGTAAGCTTTGACAATTTATCCTATTCTAAATCTATGTAAAGGGGACGAACTGATAGGACAAACATCGTCTAATAGTGATGTACGTATATACATATTTATAGCATAATTGATAAAATATTTGGTTTAGTTTTGGTTTTGGTTTATGGAGCAAACGTGCCACGTAGGTCCAGGATCGATTTCAAAATATACAGGGTGGGCCAGTGTAAATGACCACCCTGTCTACCGGACAGTTAGGCTGGGTGCTAGGATACAGGACGCACTTAACTACTGCCCCTATCCCTAGGAAAACTAAGGAGTCCCCCTAAAGAGATTTCAACATAGTGTAAACCACTGCCTGAGTTGAGTAAATATACTGATGTAATAAAAATATTCAGTAATAATTACTGTTTGTACAGCCATCAGTGCTAGATACATAACATTAAATATTCAATGTAATTATATTGACTTCTAGCATTGATACCGGTTAACATGAAGGTGCCTTACATTACGAACAATGACGTGCGGTCTAAACTCTAAAGTGATAAATGATTGAGTAATATTACATTCACGGTATATAGCTGAACAAAAACATTTTAGTGATCACATCAACAAATGTCGGCTTTGTTGCTGTAGCATTCAGGTCAACTTTCATAAGAGTTGGATTAGCATTTATCTGCTGCTGTAGAGTTAGGAGCTGTATGTGCATAATTAATTATATCATGTTACATAATATCTGATAAATTTAAAAAGATATTTCAATGCCAGAAGGAAGAAATATTTCCGAAATAAAATAACAAAAGAAGTAAAAAAATGGTAAGTTACAGCAAGGATATCGCCTTACACATAATGAATGTGGAGTGACATTCACCTTAACATAAATCTAAGTTAATTCCTCGCGAGGAAGATACTGAAAAAACGTGAGCAGAAGAATTACCTTAAGAAATATAATTAGATTAAAATTGTTTTATAAAGACCAATACCAGTGAATACTAGTAAACTGATTGTTATTGGACGATGTCCAATGTTTTGCAACGCGGACAGGAGGCTTGACATCTCCGTTTTATTAAAATATTTAGGGTCCTTATATCATATAATGGAATGGGGTGTTTCTGGTTCAAAGTTCCCTGCAGTACGTGTTAAATCGCCCAAAATAACTTTTTTAAATAAAGGGGGTTAGCAGGGTACAAATGTTCAGTTAAACAAAAAATTTCCGATTGACATATTGAATATTGATACATATTATAGCAGAAGTTAAAAAGGCTTGCAAGGTTTCAAAGGTTACTTTATCCTTATCAGTACTTATTTTGACCTGGGATCAAAGGATCAAATTTTGTTAAATATCAGCAAAATTTTGCGAATTTCAGGTCTAAGAATCGCACTCGAGTCGATTTTACTTTTAGCAAAGAAAACTATCATTTCCTGTTTTTAATATACCTTTTAGTTTAATCTATGCATATTTAAACAAACATTTATGTGCCAACGAATTTATTAACATATGGTTGTAAGCTTTCCAATGACTTAAAAGTTAAGTTAGTTGACACCAACATTCTTCGTTTCTTAGACTAGTGCAACTCTGTCATCAAAAAGTATGGCATCTCAGTATATTGTGTTAAATAAAAAAACTCCACTTTATACCTGTTAGGCTCAAAATAAAGTTCAAAATGTTTAACGGGATGATAAACAATTCTGACGTTTTTCTTTTCAAAATACCTAAAATTCGGAAAAAATTCGACTTGTGTCCATAACTATGGTTAGGGTGGTCACACATTTTTCATGACGTAACATTAAAAACATCGGAAAGAATTACTTTTAAAAATCAGGAAAAATATATTCAGAAAGTTCATTATTATTATTACTTTATTATTAAAAAATAAAAGCAAGTTGCATTGATAATGCATTGACTTTTAATGAGTAATTCCATCGGTATTTGATTAAAAATGAGGGTGAATCTTGGCAAGTGAAGAACTAATTACTGAGCAGTAAGCTGGATCGCAATTCCTCAACAGATTAAAATTGAGTCACTCTATTGAAGTCCCGTTAATCGCTTATACACACACGATGTGTTGGAATCTTATAAATATAATTATAATGTAAAATTATAAAGTTATGATATTGAATACTCTCAACTCTATACTTCAATTTGGCTCATCGCCAGATCAACTAGCCCCGGCCATCCTACCCATTTAATTATTAAACCTTCCATGGGGATAAGTTTACACATCTTGAATTGTCAGGAAACTCAGTTTAAGACATTACGTAAGATAGTGCCTTGTAAGTTAATTGTCGTGCTCACAAAAACAATCGTGTAAGGCTTGCGCTTGACATTACGCAGTTGAATAATCCAACCTGAGAGAACTTAAAGGCTGAAAATTTGGCGAATTGTTTAGCTTTGCAGTGTTTTTTGTCTCCAAATTTAAAGGTTTTAGGCATGAGGGCAGATGCGGAATCACACATTTTGAAAACAACCGTGAGGTCTCTCGCTAGCCATCCATTAAGGCATTTTGCCAACATTTTCAGATCGGTACTACTACTACCAAAGGTGATTCAGTCACAATACAAATTCAGTCTACTTTACAGATAACATAAGGTACTAGTCTACCGTCACTTGTTTTATAAATAATGTAAGGTATCCGTCTCTCGTCACCTGTTCTACAAATAATATAAGATGTCCGTCTCCCGTTAGTAAAGTATACCGAATTTGTAGACCGTGTTCTACCAATTCTATTTATAGAATTTTGTGATGATAAGTGTCACTGATCATCACAAAATGGGGTTCTGGTGCAACGCCCTCTCATTGGCTGATTGATCAGCCAATGAGAACTGAGAAGGCGGTATCGATTTCAGTATCTTAACTTTTATCCACGCCAGTGATCTCGCTTGAATAACTTAAATGAACATATTCTTTGGGTATTTTTAAATGTGGAAGCGTGTAATGTTAGAATTTATTCATTAATTTATAACCTATATAGGGCCGATGCTCGGACTTTGGAGCCGACCTAAATCGGTCAGTAAGTCAGTAGAGATATTTAGGGCATGATAAATACTGGAAATGGTAATTCACCAGGATATGCGATTGCACGTTGTAGCCACCAGTCAAGAATTGATATTCAAAAGATAAATATAGACTTTGATAAAGAATTGGTGTTATTAGCTAAAGTAAAATGTAAAGAAATAACGCGAAGAATAATGAAAATATTACAAAGTGCACACTTTATATCGCTCAACCTAGGTAGGGCCGAGGTAAGAATGTAGGGCAAGGAATGTTGTGACAACTTAAACTTATTGGTATGGGATTTGTCAACATTTAACTTAAGACTTCTGGTGATGACTTGATTCCATTGTTACCAGTTATCTGACTGTTTTTTGGTAAGTTAATATGAACATAAATTTAAACCTTCAGAATGCTATTTGTTCCTGTAATACTCAATTTTCCGAAGGTTTTGCAGGGTCCTGTTCAAGGAGTTAAAGCATGAAGCGTTGACACATTGCTATTGTACTTTCGCTTTTGGGTACTAATATTAGAAGACGAAGCCAGCCTTATGTCGCAGTCACCTCGTTGCTCCTAGCAGAAACCCGTCAAACCCTAAAGTTTTATAGTTGTGGTGAACGTGCGGAACGTTAACTAAAAATTTTCTGTATGGATAAATTACTTATTATTATGGATAAATTACTTATAATTATAAATTACT